TCCTCCTCCTCCTCCTCCTCTTCTTCTTCTTCTTCTTCTTCTTCTTCTTCTTCTTCTTCTTCTTCAGAGATTTATTTATTTTTATTTGTGCCTGCATGCATGTATGTGTACTAGGTTTGTTCCTGGTACCTATGGAAGACAGAAGAAGGCATTCGTCCCCTGGAACTGGAGTTACAGAAGGTTGTAAGCTGCCATGTGAGTGCTGGGAACCAAACGCATTCCCTCAGCATGAACAGCCAGTGCTCTTTGTTGCTGAGCCATCTCTCCAGCTCCTTTCCCTTTTGTTTGAACACAGATAGAAAATACGAGGACTGAAAGATGCTTGCATCTCGTGTGTCTTCATGCTCCTATTTGACATACAGGGTCTCTCTTATGCCCTGGGAATACAGCCCAAGACCTCTAGTGAGCACCAGTGGCACTGTGACCTATACAGACTAGGTGGTTTCTTATACCTGTAGTAAAGCTGAATTTCTCAATTAGTCACAGTAAGAGACTAACAACAATAACAATGATTAGTATTAAGATAGAGCAATTGGAGCAATATATTGTAAGTTACTTTAAACTTGTGAATTATTTACTTTTCAGATTTTCCATTTAATATCTTTGTATTGCAGTTGGCCTTGGACATCTGAAACTGAGGGAAACGAAGCCACGGATGAACTGTGCAAAGAAACCAACATCAGAGAGGTTGAGTGAGAGGCTCCAAATGACCAAGCCAGACAGTACTGGGGGCAGAAATGTGCAGATCAGGTCTTCCTCATCTGGCTCTCCCCTGGGCCATGCAGAAAGACTGTGAAGGAAAAATGGAGATGAATTAAGAAGACATGTTCACATACCCCACCCAGTGTTCTTTTGGACTCTTTCCCTTGTCAGAAAACACCAGGCCTCAGTTTTCCTAGTAAAAAGAGAAGCTAAGTAACACCCAGAATCTCAGCTTTGGAAAAGCATGGATCCTTCAGCTTTGGGAAGTCATTAGAATTTGGTGGGGGTATTTTCAGCGAGCCTGTCCTAAGGTGACAGGAGTCCAAGGATGAGTCAGTCAAGAGGCTCAGGTCTAGAGGTGGCTGGGTGTCCTCACTCATGGGCTTCCTGGGAACTTCAAAGGTTTCCTTTTTTCTTCTTGGCTGTGCACATGCTATAGAACACAAGCAGAGCTCTGCACACTGTAGCAGAGTGTGTGCTTGTGGGAATTCAACCCACCCTGTCTTATTTTGCAAAAAAAGTTTAAGTGGGACAAAGATAGTCCATTTATTCAAGTGTTGCCTATGACTGCTTTTGCCTATAATGTTAGAATTGAATAGTTGCAATAGAGGCTAGTATTTTTATTATCCAATACTTTCCAGGAATTTTTGTGGATCTCCCTCCTAAATGAATGACTTCAGATGCATAGAAGGTTGTTTGCTCATTTTTAAAATATATTTTTTATTGAATTTTTGTACATTTTATACAAAACAACTTAATCATCTTTATACCCCCACCCCATCTGCACCCACCTGTAGCCCCCCCACCAGATTTCATGCATTCAATCATATATGTTTTATCATTTTTATGATACTTTAAAAACACATTTACATACATTAATTGTTGAGAAACAGCAGCACTTACTTCATGATCTGGAGGATTAAATGAGTTATTTTTCAAGTGCTTAGAGCGATCATTAGTAGGTAAGCAGTCTAGACAATGCTGTATACTCCACAGCCTTAGTTTTAATGGTCTTGCAGTATTCCCCAAATTCTCTCTAAGCAGAATGGTTTTTTCAAAGGGGACAGTTACAGAGCAAGCCAAAGGAGGGATGTGAGGCAGAGCCTGGAGCTGGGAGGTGTGTTTAATGGAGTAAGAGACTCACACGGGTTGGTTTCCGGCTAGCTTACATATATGCTCCTTCTTTGTGGAAAATGTCTTTAAGAAGCAAAGTTTTGCAAAATGTAAATTTCCACTTATCTTGCAAGAAACAGTTTGTGCTGTGTAGGAATATGAAAAAAGAGAAACAACACTGCGCTGGGAGCCCCAGATGAGTTCTGAGCCCATTTTTCTAGTTAGTCACATGACTTTGGGTGAGTGGCCTATGTTTATAATATTTCCAGTTTGTCCTCAGGTGGTCAGGTGGGTGTTGGCTCTCATGCCCTCTTCTGGATGGTTATGCAACGCTTTCCCCTCCATGCCTTTCCCTTACCTGCTAAAGTGTATCTTTGATGATAATACCTTCTTTTCCAAAAGTCATCTTTGGGCCTTCATTTTGCATGTCTCAAATTCTCTGAGATTTGACTTCTCAAAGGAAGAAGGCTAACAACTGCAGACTCAACTAGATTCCTGTCATAGATGAGACGTGTGATATGCTATTCTGATAATGCAGGATTAACTCTACCACCACCACAAGGATCCTGAGCTCTTGAAACATGGCCCAGAAATCCTACTCTTTTGAACACTGAAATGCTGGAAGCACTTAAAAACCATCTTTTCCCTCCATCCAAATGTTTGCATAGTGGCCTGGCATGATGCAAACACTCCTAGCAGGCAGCTGGGGCTTTTGCCTGTGCCAGGGGGCCGCTTGCCCAAGGTTGCTTGGCAATACTTAATCTTCTGAGTAATCACCTCCCACACATCTACTCTTTCAACTTTCAAAGAACACTTACAAGAAGATTTGTGTTTTATCTTCAAATATTCCTTAGAAATCAGAATGACATACACTTCTTTGTGAAGGATTAGGGGTCTGAGACCCAGAGAGATGAATGGACTGTCCAAGGTCTCACAGCAATACTGAAACTCAGGTGGGGGCAAAACACTGATCTTCCAAGTCCTGGTTCTGGGCTCTTTCCTCTACTATCCAAATATTTTCAAATGGTGTTTTGTCTAAAACGTTCCCACACCTGGCCTTAACTCCACACAACATGTCCATGTATAAAGTTAGCATTGGAGCCAGGAGGGAAGTCAGTGGGAAAGAAATCTCATGTTCATGGACTTTGATGCTAGACAGGAACCTTTGAACTGAGAGGAAAAACATCTACAGACTAAATCTCTACAGTGGAAAAGAAAATAATGTTTTACTTTTTTTTTTTTAAAGAATTGGACTGTGCTTCCAGGGTATTCAATTCTAATGTATTAATTTCAAGGGACACAAAGACTGTTGACAGGAGAACGTCTACATGGATAGGAGGAATTACACATGCTATAGAGAAGTTCCAAAGCCTTGGGGCAATTTCTTCTACTCAAGGTCTTGGTTTCTTTTCCCATAAAAGAGGGTGGGTGTAACTTAGGTTTAGAGTGAATTTGGCTGCAGTAGCAAACTAAGCCTCCAATGTTAATGACTTGAAACAAAAGAAATTTATTTCTTCCTGTCCTGGGTGGGCTGTGGGTCTTCTCCAAGTGTCTTTTTTCTTGGATCAGAATGGAAGGAGAGCAACCCCCGTCTAGGATATGCCATCCCGTAGTAGGGAGGGGAACGTGGCAGAACATTCTTTGTCTATTTTAATTTTTGCAAAGAAAGGACACAGATTTTATTTCATATTTTGATTTTACAAGTCAAGGCCCATGAATAAACCCAAAGTTAAAAGAGCAAACTTTATTGTTTTTCACAGGTTCAAGTCCAATAGGGAAAGATGTAATAGGATGGACCAACATATACCTTGGCAATACTTTAGGCTTCCCACTAAGTTCCTCACTTAGAAAATGGACATCATAATAATGTCAAACTCTCAGACGGTTCGCTTTTTAGAAAACTTTGTTAAGAAGTGTGTGAAAGCCGGGCATGGTGGTGCACACTTTTAAAAAATTATTTATTTAATAACCATGTGATTAGGAGAAACATTTCATTACAACAACATTGACATGTTCAATAACAATTTCTAGAGCAAAGATGCATTGCTTTCAAAATTGGCTATAAAGTTTGAGGTTCACAGATGAATGAACAGTTATACAATATTGCACTCAGTGTAAACCCTATAAGACATAAAATTGAATGAGGTTTTAACCTTTAAAAAAGATCTCCATTTCATTTTGAAATATACTGTTTCATACAGAAAAACTCATTTTTAATGTAACTAACATTTAGATGTTGGCACATGAGTCTCTAATCTCTATATACCTGATTATTACTAATCACAGTCAGTTACTTTCTGAGATCCCTGGTCGTCAGGTAGATTTCAGTGGTGATGTTTTTCAGCTCTACTAATTAACATGAAGCAATTTTTTTATGCTTCTTCAAATATAACTCATTTAAAAAATTTATTGATTTTTTTGGTGTGTGTATAACATACAGAACATCCCAAACAATCTTATTCATCTGTATACCCACATCCCAAATGGCACCCTCCCATAGCCCCCCCACCCCCAACTCCACTGGAGCCCATATACTCTGTCATCCCTGTTACTGACCACTGTGTTGTCGGTGCCCCCAGCCGTTCCCCAGTGCTTGTCCATCCGCTGCGACTAGTCAGCCTATCTAGAGTTCCTTGTTTTAGGAAGATCAGCTCTTCCTCATCCAGCAGCAATCAGTTGCCAATATTCCTTTAGATAAGATTGGGGTCTGCTGTTCATTTTCCCAGTTCTATGTTGGGTTACTGTCTGGGAGTCTCTTGGGCCACCCTGGCCAACAGCTCAAAAGAAGGTATCTCCTGTCTGGCATTGTTTCTTGTTATGTAGCCTTTGGCTATACGCATGGACTCTTAAAGAATTATATTGATCACTTTTAACTCTGGCACTTGGGAGGCAGAGGAAGGCTGATCTCTGTGTGATCAAGACCAGCCTGGTCTACATAGTGAGTTCCAGGACAGTTGGGGCTACAGGGAGACCCTGTCTCAAAAAAAGTATGTGAAGTTACTTAGCACTGAATTTGATCTGTTGTCTTTTCACAGTTCTGTGGAAGTGCCTGCTCCGCGTGAGGTACCAGAGTGGCCAAGACATCCAACAATTACCAGCCAGGAAACTCACTTTGCATAGATATTTTCTACTCACTAATCAATAAATACAAAGTGACAGAGTGTCAGTTAGAAAACTCTTTACAAGGCAAAGAGGTAAGATGGGGAGGGAGTGATTGATTCTTTCCAGATAGTCACAGGAGACCCTCCAGAGGAGGTGATGTGGGAGCATAAGTCTTAAAAGATGAAACAGAACCCTCTAGGTGAGAAATTAGGGTAATTTTAGAGAAATGAAATACCACAAGCATATGCATGAAGGTGTGAACATGTATGCTTTTGGGAAAACAAAAGTAAGTAATTTAATATAGCTAGTCACAGAATAGAAATGGGGATGGAGGATGGTCAAGGTGAGAAATGAGAATATGGGGTTTGGTACAGCCAGATCACACAGGCTGTAGGAGTGCAGCTCAGGAGTAGCAATCCGTCCTGAATCAGAACTCAGAGACTGGTGACTTGGAGGTAACCCAAAGATGTGCTTGGCTTGATTAACATGGGGTCTTAATTTAGGTGAGGCCTGCACTCTCCAGCCCCACATTCCATCATCTTCCCATCCGGTCTGTCCTGCTGCTCCTTTATCTCTATTCTTTGCCTGGACCAGGAAGGTATTTGAGTTTGAGAGACTTGAAGCAGAATCCGGATAAAGTTTGATTTGAGTTTTAGATTGATGGGGTGGCTGCCTCTGTATGGGTTGGAGGAGGAACACTGGCGGGCAAGAATCTGTGAAGAGACAGTTGTAGTAATATAGTCAGGAAATGATGAGAGCTAATGTGAGGCATGCCAGAGGACACAAAGATGGGATGGATCTGAGAATTACTGCCAAGACAGAATCCATAGAGCTTGGAAGAAATTTGGGTAAGGAGAATAAAAGAGAGTAGAGAATTGGACTAAAGGGTTTAAGAAGACGGACTAGCTCACGACTGGTGTCCCTTGAGTGCTGTCAACTGCCTGATGCAACACGGAACTGCAATAAATAATTCCCGAATAAGTAAGAAAATGGAAAAGAGATTTCAGATAGGCCCCAAGAGTCTAACTTTAAATGAAGAGCATAGTAGGTATTCTGTAGCTCTTGCTTCAGTGTGAGCAGCACATCTCTGGTAATGAAGTTTTGGCTCCTATTTTAAACTTAACATCCAATCCCTATGATCTAAACAGTCCATGGAAGCCTACCGTAGGAACTTGCTTGGCTCCCGAGATGCATAAATTAGAGGTATTTGTTAAGGGGATTACTGTCTTCCATTTCCCTTAAGAGACCTGGGCCAAAGAAGTGCAAACACCAAGTTCCTTAACTTTGGGAGATAAAAGTCAGAGGACGTCCAAATCTCGAGCTGCTAGGAGGTTGGGTGCCTTCAGGCTTAGTCCTCTCATCATCCAAGCAATAACAAAGATATTACCGACAAAATAAATAAGTTCTCTGTGGATTGAAGAGATAATAATTTCACTGGTCAAATATGAAAATATCAAAGGTCCAAGAAAGGATACAGTTATAGGTCTTTGATGTACCATAAAGGCCCATTTTATGCTCCAGTTGGAGTTTCTCAGGGTAAAGATGGAATGATATTTTCTGCTACCTCTGAGGCATAAAGGGCACTTTATGAGTCAAAGGAAGCCACTTCTCAGACGGCCGGCCGGAGACTGACAGGTTCCTAGTTTGAAATCTAAACACCAACTCAGATTCCAAAACAAAATTCCTCCCAGTGCCCCTTGGCCGGGAGACATTTGCTCAGGTTGTCAGAAGCAATAGACTGGGAGGTCTGCCCCAAGGCCAAGCAGATCAACCGGAGTGTTTCTGGTCATCGCAGGGCTCAGGGTCCAGAGTGCCTATAGCTGCTGGTGGGCCCAGGCTTACCAAGGTATGAAGTCCAGGGAAGGGCCTCTAGCGAAAAAGATCATGGAGAAAGAGGTGGAGGCACTAGATTCTTGATAAGTTATTACTACATGAGCAGCAATTGGATAAAGAGTTTTTCTTCCTTCAGATTTCTGTTCAAAAATTCTTCCTCAGGGGCAGTTGTTAGACTCTAGTCCCTTGCTTTTGGGATTTGTCTTCATTGACATGATCCCATGGATGCATGCATGTAGGCTGTTTGGCCATTTATTGTCTAGCTTTCAGATGAAATGCTGCCATAGAGTTTCTTTGCAGTAGAACGTTGTCTGATATAGAAAAGGGGTTTATAATTAACCGTTCAATGAATTAATGAAGTCTCCTGCCTTTTTATTTATAGTGCTGGGACTTCAGCATTCTAGGTAACTACTCTGCCACTGAGTCCAGCCCTATGCAGGCCCCTTATTTGTGTTAAGGCCTGTGGTAGATGATACTAAGTTGCCCTTTCTCTTCCAGGGCTCACAGGCCAGTGGGAGAGATGACTAACACCAACACCTAACACCATGCAAGATGCTACAGAGGTACCAAGCAAGTACCTAAGAAAGTTTGTTGGAGGAGAAGAACATCCTGGACAAAATGATGCTAGAGTCAGGATCTGAAGGATGGGTGAAGTTAGCCAAAAAGGATACAAGGAGAGAACTGATATCTGGATAAACAACTTCAGTCTATGACACGGCTTGGTCAGGACACTTTAGATGGATGAATTCTTTACAACTCACAATAACTTATTTTTCTGATTGTTCATTCAAAAAGTCAGCTAAAAAAATACCTTCCAGCCTGGCAAGATTGCTCATGTAAAGGTTCTTACTACATGAGTCTGGTGATCTGAGTTTGATCTCCATGTAGAAGTGGAAGGAGAGAACCAACTGCATGAATTTGTCCTGTGATCCCAACATATGCCCTGTGGTATGCACACCCCTCCCATGTACTAAACATACACATGCAATAATAATGAATAATTTTTAAAGTGCCTTCCCATGAATTGAATGTGTCATTTTATTGAATTCTGCATGGACTCATTTTGTTTTTCTGTAAGAAAATGTAAACATTCTCAGGAATATGAGCAGGTTGACATAGGAACTTGGAAAAAACAAAACAAAACACAAAAAAGTAGATAGAATTGCTTCCTCCTGCAAACACTCACATGGCTTTTTAAAAGAGGACTTCAGGCATCACTTTGTGGGGTGTATTGGAAAGCACCCAGAATTGTAAGTAGGAAGGCTAGAATTCAAGTATTACATCAGTCTTTACCAGGCAAGTCACTTTACGCCTTTCACTTACAATTTCTGAGCTATGAGAACAAAATGAAAATACCACATGAACCAAAAAGTGATAGAGAAATGAGAGTACATTATTATTTCCCACTCAATGTATTCTTCTCACCCATTTGCTGTAAACGGACACAATGACTCTCTCTCTCTCTCTCTTCAATACACAGTCCTAGATCTATAGATTTGTGCAACTACCACCTCAACTGGGATACAGGATAGTTCCCCCCCCCCAAAAAAAAACCTCCCTCAATCTCAGTGCTGCCTTTTTGTAGACATTCCTTCCTTACATCCCTCATTCCTGGTAGCCCCTGATCTGTCCTCTGTCACTATAGTGTCATCTTTTTGTGATTAGAGAATGGCAGATAAGGGAGACATCTTCTTTCACCCAGCATAACGCCTGTGAAATTCACTGAAGGTGTTGCACATGGCAATCCCTTTTTATCACCAAGTAATTTTCTACTGTATGGCTATACCACAGTTTACTTTTTTATCTCCCCACTGAAGGACACCTAGGTTATTTCCACTTCTTAAAAAATAGTTTATTATTTTTATTTTATGAATGTATTGCCTGCATGTATGTGAGTGCACCCGTGTCGTGCAGTGCCACGGAGGTCAGAAGGGGCCTTTGGATTCCCCTGGAACCAGAGTTAAGGACGGTTCATAGCCGCCATGTAGGTGCTGGGAATTGAACCCGGGTCCTCTGCAAGAGCAGTCAGTGCTCTTAACTGCTGGGCCATCTCTCCAGCTCCATTTCTACTTTTTTTTTTTTTAAGGACTGTGGTTAGATGTACTATAAACGTTTGTGTACAAGATTTTTTAAAGAATGTTAAGGTTTCCCTTATCCAAGTTGATCTCATTAGGTGTGAACTTCATGACAAATGCCAACATGTTTTCCAGAGTAGTTGTACCATTTTGTAGTGCTAAAAATTCAATTTAGTTTAGAGAGACTGTAAGGCCCAGAGAATTTCAATGACTTCCCTTGAGAAATGGGGGAAAGCGTCTGCCTGACGCTCATTCCAGAACTCCGTTTTCTTAGATTGGACCCTGTTCTTCTTGCCGCATTTTCAACGCAACTCTCCGAGGTCAGGCTAGCTGTGTGTCTGCTTGCCCCCATTTTTTAGGTCGAAAAGGCAGGGGGAGAAGTGGGCTTAAGAAAAGAAAGGACTGCCGAGCTCACACTGCTGGGGGAGGAGGGTTGGATGGAGTTCACTCCAGGCTTCGGCTCCTCCCCATGTACATTTCTTCCGGGTTGCTGAGCGTTAGAGCAGGAGTTTCGTGTAAAAGAATCAGTATTTCGAGCTTCACAGTCATGCTGCATTACAGGGCAAACTTTCCATGCTTTCATAGTGTGAACTATATGTTTATTAATAACTATTCCTCAATGGCTTCAATTTTCACGCTATTAAAGAGCTAAAGCCTGGCTCATTGGTCATATCCTGCTCTCTGCTTGGAATGGAATCTTTTCTTCTTCTATTTAAAATTTCAGCTGGGGCTGGAACCCAGGAGTGAAAAGCAGACTTTAAGTTTGTTGCCCAGTGTGCCTGCTAACCAGTGTCATGCCCCAGGCCTCCTTCCTGCTGGTCCAGAAGTTTCCTAACACCGTGCCTGGGGCACAGAGACAGCAGAAGGCGGACGTTTCACTCTACTTCCAGCGTCTTAGGAGGGTCCCAGATCCATTCCATTACTAAAAGCTGTTCTTAGATGATTGTAAGGAAAAGGGTGCCTATTTCAGGACGGGAAAATGGATGATCTTTCTGCTTTTCTGAGAGGCCCCTGGAGTCTCACAGGCTAAAGCTCCCTCTTTTCCACTGCCGGCAAGCAGGAAGTGACAGAAAGCCAGCAAGGACGCACAAAGAAGAGAAAGAAACTAGAACAAAGAAAACGAAGTGAGACAAGGGGAAAACACTGGAGAAAGCCGGGCAGAAGGAGGGCGGGAAACCCCAGACTTGAAACAAAATGGTTTATTTTGCTTCCCTGGTGTTTGTTATAGATTAACCTTAACTAGGTGGAAGAGGCTGGGGTTATTGGACCACGCTAATTAGATCTTCATTTGATTTTGCCTGTGTTTGTTTGACTACTTAGTTTATGACTTGGCAGGGAGCTTTGTCGTACACACTCTGCTAACTGGTTTATCTAAACTGAGATTGAGCATGAACAGCATTCACATCGGATTTGCTGCTTCAGACCACACAGAAGAGGGGAGAAAAGTCTGTCGTGTAAACAGACCGTCAAGGTACAGTAGCGGACGTGGCCGGAGCACATCATGGGCATCGTGAAGACAGGCAGACATGAATTTGATTCCTCCTTTGGTTGTTTCTGAACCTCTGTGTTATGGTTTGAATGTGAAATGTCAACCCCACAGGCTCATGTGTTTGAACACTTGTTCCCCAGCAGGTGGCACTGTTTCGGGAGATTGTGGGGCAGAGTTTATGAGTTATAACCTGGCTATTGTTCTGGCCTGACCTCTCCGTTTCCAGAGCCCTTGAGCTCTAACAAGCAAGTGGTTGTATCAGGGAACCACACAGCCATGCCTTCTTTGCCGTGGTGGATGGTATGCCCTGAAACCATGAGTCATAAAAAGGGGGAAAAAATCTTTAAGGTTTTTTCTTTTTTTTGGTCAGGAATTCTGTCATAGCAGTGAGAAAAGCTAGCTGATACACTATGACTCTCACTTGTAAAATAAGATAATGACAATACCATATAGAGGAGAGGGGAGGATTGAAAGAAACAATAGGGAATCTTTGGGGGAAGGCCTTGAGTAAGCCCCTCATCTCTCCTTGAAAATGCCTGGGAAAGTCAAACAGACCCATTTATGCTGTGATAAGGGTTGACCCCAAGGTTGCAATTCTGTCCCAACCACTTAGTCACCCTATTCCCACTAGGGTCTAGCTCTGGGACTTTAGCAAGGCACCTTGGGGCAATGACTTAACAATGCTGGCTATAGACAGCACCTGTAACCTGAACTCTTTTATTTGGGGTTCCCCATTAAGGTGGCCTTGCTATGACTGCTTCTCTCACCTGCCGCCACTAGCCCCCAGTTTCAGTGGAGACATCACTTTTTTAGGATCTCTTCTGAAGACCCTGGTCTCTGTGCTTTCCTGAGTACAGAGGGCAAATCTACCACCACTCATAAAGACTACACTGTGCCCTTCTGTATCTATAAGTTCATCTATTTGTTGAATCAAAATCCTTTGAGTTCCTGAGCCTGACTTTTCCCCCTAGCTCTCTAGCTTCTGACAGAATTTCTAGTTGTGTGTGACTCTGGGCGAGTTAGTTAAACTCAGGTAGCCTCAGTTTCCTCATCTTTACTATAGGAATAAATATAGCACATCGCAAATACCTGAGGCTTAATCGGCTAAATACCAAGTGAAGCTGTTTCTGGCAAAGAGTAAGTGCTCAATATCTATTATCAATCAGAAATGTGATTCTGATTGAACAAATGAATAAATACATGCATGAACAGAACATATTCTCTGCTACTGAGGAGTCTGGTCCAGTGGAGGAAGCGTGTTGAAGTCCCATGAAACAATGTGATATTAAAGTAGCAATCAACTCCTTACAAAGTACAATAATAATAGAAGGAAAATATTCACTTAAAATCAGTCTATTAAAATAAGAGGAAACTGTCAAGAAGCTTGAAATTGTGTGTGTATGTATATGTGTGTGTGTGTGTGAGAGAGAGAGAGAGAGAGAGAGAGAGCGAGAGAAAGACTGTAGTAGAGGCAAGAAGAGGTAGGATGCATCACTACTTCTGAAGACTTCGGTTATGAGGCTCTGTGAAGAAGCTTTCTGTAATATGCTATGAATTTCCTAGCTATCAAAGCAGAGTTAGAGCAATTTACATTAAAAATATTTGACCCTGAGCCTGGCATGACACACCTTTAATCCCATCACTAGGGAGGCAGAGGCAGACAGATCTCTGAGATCAAGGCCAGCCTGGTCTGTATAGTGAGTTCCAGGCCAACTAGGGATATAGGGAGATTGTGTCTCAAAAAGAAGAACAAAATGATCCTAGCAGTAAGATACTATCCAGTACTACTGGCTAGTGTTCATAGTGCTGGAAGGTGCTATACATGCTACCAGAGAAAATGTAGTCATCAACCTTCCCAGCTATAAATCCTGTGAACTCCAGCAACAGCTGGCTTGGCCAGATACACTCACCAGTGCGATAGTGGCACAAATATGGAAGCAAACAATCACGCTTTAATTGGGTTTAAGGTCCACTTTCTAGAATGGAGCCCACGTTGATATCAGGCTTAGGAACCTGAGGCTAGACAGGTCATAGGACATAGGGGAGAACATAATACTAGTTTTCTACTAAATAGGTATTATATTAAACAGACTCTTAATTACTTATTGGTATACCCATAGATTAATGCATCCCTCAACTCTCAGAGAAGTGTCCTGATGATTAACACAGAAACTCACAACTGGTCAACCTATAGAAAACAAGAGGCTGCAGACTGCTTATCCATGAGTAGGACACCTATACCAAACTTCTGCCTCCCAAGACTCAGGTATCACTGCAGAAGAGGGGTAGAAACTGTAAGAGCCAGAGGTGGTGAAATAGAGTTTTCCAGACAGCTGGGTAGTCATCACTCATACGAACTCACAGCAACAGTGACAGCATGTACAAGTCCCATGCAAGCTCAAACCAGAAAAAAATCCCAGCATGGACATGAGGA